CCCCAAAACCCCAAAACCCCAAAACCCCATTAGGAAAAGATTTCAAGCATTCTAAAAAATAAAATTATTAGTTTAATCTTAGGAATGATAAATTTAGTAGTAGATTTATAAATATTTATTTATTTTGATCAATTTGCAAGTTTTAGTTGATGGATTGGCAATGATTAATTACCAGAATTACTGTCTACTTAACATTCCATCTATTATCTCTTCTTCGCCATACTGATCTCAAGTAAGATTTCCCTGTTTAATTTTATTTCCTCCTCATTCATAGTGCCTCTAATAGGGCTTTTACTTATTGCTGCTTGATTTTTCATGAGTTTAAGTCCATGTATCTGTTCTTTTAGATAAAACTAGTTCTCTCTTTATTTGGACAATCTGCGCTTTTCTTCCTCTTTTATTTTCATCTATTCCTCCTCCCCCATATTTATCCATTACCTCATAAACTCCTCATTTTGTATAAATTCTTATTTTTTAAGCTACTATCTTTCATCTAATTGATCTTTAAGTGCTTTTCTCAGCTATTCATTATTTTTCTATAAAATAGCTTATCTCTTTTCCTCTTCAATCGATTCAAGTCTATGTTTTTATTCTTCATACTATTTGATTTTTAACTCTAATTACTTATCATTCTCCTCTTTCTTTTTAATCACAGTATTAGCCAGTCTATTCATTGATTACTCTATCTTCTTCTCTCTTTGATTCCACTCTTCCTACCTCTTTTTCTCTTCTAGTTCTGCTTATTACTTTAATTTTTCGATCATTTCATTTTCTTTTAGTTTTTCTACTATCCTCTGCTAATCCTTTTGCAGTTTGATGATTTCATTTTCTTTGATGATCTTTTAAGCATCTTTCATCTCCTTCAATCGTTTTTATACTTGCTGTTCCTTCTCTTAGTCTAGCTCAATTTTAAGTTTATCTAAGTACTCAGATTCTTGATTTCTCTCCTGCTTGAAAGTCTGTAACTTTTGGTCCTACGCTTACTTAAGCATCAAATCACGCTTCTATTTTTCTTAGATGACCTATTACCTTTTCTCAATTTACTATCTCTTTTCCTCCAATTCTTCTAATTTTATTTTCTTCAAAAGATTAGACTCAAATTCCTTTTGATCACTTTGCTATTTTTTCAGAACATTTTATCTCTCTTTCAGTTGATGATCAAGAACCGCTTTGATTTCAAGCTTTCGTTTAATTTAAGCTACTTATTCTTATTTTTATTTTTACAAGTCTTTTTCTTGCTAGAATCTTGCTATTTCTGCCCACTCATCTTCATCTATTTCAGAGGGTAGAATATTTTTATTTGACTTGTAAGCTGTAGAATATTGTTCATTTTCTTGATTAATTGATTTAGAAACTGTGCTTAATTTAGAGTGAGATGCACTGAAAATGCTTAATTCTTCTTTATTTTGAGGTTTTTAATTTGAGCTTTGGCGTTAAATATGAATGTGGCTGTTATTTTTTATTTTACCTAAGCTAGATCTTTAACTCTCACCAGTTTAAAGAATCATCTAACTCCTGTTACTATTATTTAAATGTGTCTAGTTGATTGGAATCATTCTATTAGATTGCTGAATCAAGCTTGACTAAGACTAAATAAGGCTATGATCTTACTTATTGTTTTCCAATTTTTTTCTTTTTATTTCATCTAGGATAGTTTGATTTCCATTCTTGCTTGAGATAGATTGATTGGCAAACATATTTGAATATGTAGATTGTGCTATAGGTTTGGTATTTGGCTGAATGCTTAGTGACCTATTGGCTTAATTAACAGTGTTGATCATTGGTAATGATTGTGTATTCGCAGGTTGTTTCTGCAAAGTATGGTTCGAATTAATGCTAATTCGAGAAAGTATCTGCTACTCAAGCTTAACAATGTCTTTTTATGTTATAGATTCACCTGCCGTAACCGTGCTTTCAAATAACGCATCGATTTGTTATTTTGCAATCTGCATTATACTGTAAGTTCTAGCAATATCTCTATGATCTGACTTTTTATCTACAAGATCTGAGAAATACTTTTTCATAAATCTATTTAAGATAATCTCTCTAGTCTTCATTTTTTAAGCTAACTTGGGCGCTTAACTGTTTCTTACTGATAATGGTACTGATTGACTCATTACCTAACTGAGATTACTAGACTGCTTCGAAGATACTCTATCTTATGAGTATTTTCTTAATATCAAGCCTTGCATAATTGTGGACATTTTGCGTTAAATTTATAAATAAAGCTTATGAAAATTAAAATTTGACCGAGTAAAAAAATATTAATTTAACTTAGCTTTGTTTGATTGATAATATACAGATTAATTACTAATAGTAAGTAATGCAAAATAAAAACAAAATTGGACGCCCACCGTGGGGCTCGAACCCACGACCACTTGGTTAAGAGCCAA